CTCTCTGCCAGGGCGTACTATAATTAACAGTGCGTGAGATGATTTCCGACATAACTCAAATGAATAAAATTCGTTCATTTATTCCGCACGTATTTAGGCTAATTTATGTGACTGTGTGTGTAACCTCATTAGAGTGTGTGTGTGTGCCCCATAAAATTCACTTTTCGAGCAGGCATTTTTAATGACTTTTCTTTTTTTTCCTCATTTTTATTTTGTTGCGTTGAGAAGAAATTACATGGGAAATGAAATGATGATGCACGGAATGATGTTAAAATGTGTATATCACCCACGGGCCATGACATTGTCATTTAATTGTTTTTATTTTATTTTCCCTTCCACATCTGATCAGCATTTTCACTTAATTCTCTGAGAGTTTAACATTTAATAGCATACTTTGCAGGGCAGAACAGTCGCAGGCGCAAGATATTTCATTGCCTTGCCTTGCAGATGTCTCCGTGGCGAAAAACGTGTCAGCCATTCTCATATGTGAATACATATACGTATATATCCCATGTCGAGACACAGCCATGCATAAAATATATATATAGAAGCAAAAAAAAAGGACAAATTTGTCTAAATGTGCGTGGGAACATTGCAAATACAAGTGAGTACATGCGAAATATATTTGCCTATATAATTCATTACACGCTCCTTTGTCTGCAATTTTCTGCCAACACAGCAGCCGAGTCTCGAGTCTGCCTCCAGTATTGAATTCTTTTCGAATATTTACCCTCTTTGTTTCAAGTTTGACTCTTTGACTCTTAAAGCCCGTAAGTAAAAGCAAAAAGTACAAGGAACAAACTTTCTTTCCGCTCAATGTCAGGCCCTAATTGGGCATCTTTGGTTGGCTGTTACAGTTTTTCGACTCATTATGCTGGTTAAGTTAACAACAGTGACTCAATTGTGGTGCCCAGAGCCCCAGATGCCAACAAACCCCCCGAACCCATCCCAATCCACCCACAATCCCGACAACTAATTAAGCTTCGATTAACTTTCCCCAAAGAACAAAAGCGGGCTCTGTTCATCGGGGGCTTCCTCTATGTCAAGCCGCAGAATACCAAAAATTCTGAAACCATGACTCCCAACGCCCCCGAAATGTCCTAGGCGCCTGAAGAGGAATCAACCAGTAACCAGAAACCAGAATCAGTCGGCGAAGGCCTAAACAATTGAAACCATTTTGTAAATAATCGAAATATGGAAAGCATTTCAAGTGCTTTGGCGCAAACTTTCTCCACACGTTGCGGTATCATTTTCGTTGAAAACTATGCAACTATATAACCATGGACGAGCTATATAGCCTGGAGTGCTTAAAAGTTCAAGATTGTGAGAATTTCAACAATGGAATAAAAGTTTTTATGTTAAATGGGAATTAGAGCAGAGCTGCTGCTGCTTGTTGTGAGGTAGAAGGTAGACCAGCGGCAGAGACGGAAATAGGAGGGGGTAGGAAGCTCACATTTAAGGCTTCGGTACAATGTGCTTGAAATTTAAAACAAAATGTATTTTAAATATATGTGTGTACTTTATTGTACGATATTTTTCCGACTTCTTTCTTTTTCCTAATAAATATTGGTAGATCTTTAGAACTTTTATCGATACATCGTTCCTATTCTTATATTTCAATACTGCTCTTTACTATTTAAAATGTGTGTTAATCTGCTATTAAAAGAAATTCGCCGGAAATACTGCTTTTTAGTTAACCAATAAAATGTACAGCTAGCTTTATTAATCTTTTTTTCTCACGACACCGATGCCAATATCAATCAATTCAATTAATGCCTCAATTCAGGGCTTTATCTGCCACTCACTAGCCCTGCAGCACCACATAAAAAAAGAAGAAGAAAAGGGCGGGAAAAACAAAGCAAAATGGAGGCATAAAAAAAATGTCGAACGGAAATCCCGAACAAACCGCAATGGCCGGCAGCAGACAATGCAAATTGTTTGAGTGTTGCTCCATCCCTCTCTCCCCGCTCTCGCTGGCACCTTGCTCTGACTCTCTCTTTCACTTTGTATCTGTATCTGTAACTGCGGTTTCCGTTTTGGCTTTCTTTTTGCAAATGAGTGTGTGTGTGTGGGTGGGTGTGTTTTTATTGCATGTGAAGTATTTGAAGTATTTGCAAACTACGCTTGAGTGTATTCATTCTCTTTATTTCTGAGAGTGAGAGGGCGCCACATAGACAGAGACCGGTCGAGTGGAAGAGAAAGAGACAGGACAGTCTTTAATGTACTCGAAGTTCATTTTATATTCATGCACTTTACAATTTCTTGTTTCCGATGCAGGCCAAATGCATGGCTAGGCCACAATGGGTCCGCCAGAGGACACAATCTCAAATGCACACAGGTCCTAGACCAGGATGAGCAGCTGCAGCAGGATCAGGCTAAACTCCTTCGGTACGGTTTCGTTTGGGTAATCATCTACTCCTGAGTGCTTGAGTGGTCTTTAAGCTATCTCCTTGCTTGCTTATGATGTATAGAATATGATACCTGGGGAATATGATTTATGCCAAAATGGCCAGCCAAAAAACCATAAAAGTTACTCTCGAAAGGGGGGAACTTTGTTTTCCATGCTGGTATGCATATTAAATAAATTACATGAAAATATTAGAAAGGTTCTCAGGGTGTATATATATTATTATTTGTATGAGGCAAGAGAAAGTTATTATATTAGCAAATTTTAGTTTTGGATTTCAGGAAAATGTGGTTAAAGTGTATGAAAGTTCTCACGCATTTAAATGTAAATGTCCAAGGACTCGCAATCACAAAACTCTTTTTTCAGAATCAGTTTCGACTTTAAGGACATTTACATACAAAAACTGTGGGGAACAATGCCCGGCCAACATAAATATCGGAAAGGAAACACGTGCAGGCGCCTGGCGACAATCATTACAAGGACGATGAGCATAAACAACAAAGAGGCAACATCATGACAGACGGAAATGCAAACACAGCACTTACACACAGACACACTCACTCCCATCAAACTCACATTCATATACATATGTATGTATGTATTTACATACCACAGCACGTGTCGCTGTATTTGTGTCACAATTTATAAAGAGGTGAGGAGTTGGGCGGAGAGTGGCAGAATATATCTGCACATATAGACGACACAAAAAAATCTCACATTATGTCAAATGTTTTGTTTGTCCTTCATGGGAGGACATGTCGGCGGCTGTTTTTGTTTTGTAAAGGGAAAGGGGAACAGGACTACGTGCCTGTTGAATTGGCGCGACACGATTTCAGATTTAGTTCGCATTTTTACTGGGCAATCGAGCACAAATTAAACCCGGATCAAGGACTTGCCAGAAAAAGCAGAAAAAAGCACGCAGAGAGTACTCGATTCAGCAAACGCTGGCTAAGCACTTGGGCGACCGTTCTCAACCTGAAGTTTGCCGGGATTAACTTGCAGTCAAAGTTTTTGTAGCCACAAAAAAATAACTAAAAAAATAAGAAGGAAAAAAGCAACCAAGAAAATACGAAGAGCAAAAATACATTGGTAAGAAAACCAAGCACAATTGGGTCAACACACAGCCAAATCGTTTCTGCCAGGGAGTTTGGGATTTCCAGCTAGAAATGGAAGCTGAAACTGCAAGAGCAAAAGCCAGCAAAATAATCCCCAAGTCCTTGAATCCTGCCAGCTCTACTGGCAAGTTTTTCAAGTTCAATATTTGTTGCATTGCATCATCTGCTTACTTCGGCCCTGATAATTGATGCCGGTGTCTTGTTAATTATCATCAAAGCATGCTTGTTATAATAGGCTTATTAGCTACTTTGCTTTGTGCATTTAAGATCCTTCTACCTATGAAGCTACTTGCTACTTGCTAGTTGTCCAAATCCGACTCCCCCGAATCCGGAGTCTGTTCAATTATACTAATGCTATTATCCTGAGCATTACTCATACGCCATGTGTGCCCGGAATTGGCGCCTCATAAAATGCAGAGTTCGCATTTAGATATTATTTGTGGGCCTGGGTAGTGCAATTATTTGCAGAGCCTCGAGTCTTGAGTCTTGAGTCCAAGGCAATCTTAAGGCAAATAATTCCTTCAAGACGAGCCACACGTTCACACACTATAGACCGAAAATTTCAGGCCACAAACTGTCAGCCCGAGACGGCTGCTGCTCTGTGGCTGGGCTGTGCCGGCAATAAATCTTAAAGTTCATTAAAAAGTTTATTTATATTTCCACCTGCTGTGTCTTCTGGGAGTTCATGCGAAGTCTGCAAAGTGTCAAAGAAATAAAAGCCCCAATTGCCGACAAATCTTTGTTAAGCTTGACCTTGACGAATGGCAATCATTATGTGGAAAAAGTTTATTCACCTTAGGGGTATTTTTTTTAGTCTATGAAAAATAAATAAAAAAGGAGGGTAATTCCATTGAATGCTGAAATCTCTGCTGAATATCGCCCAATTTCTTAATTAATAAAACATCAGATAGTTTTTTGTTCATCAATGGCCAAAGATACACATCCATTCACTAGCTTCATTCAACTAAAATGTGTTTTCGCCATTGAAGAGTCAACCAGGGCGGCATCAAAAGGAAGCGCTCCAATAACTTTGAATAGCATCACAGATACACACCCACACTCGCTCACTATTACACTCCCACACAGATACACACATGCACTTTGGTTGCGGCCTTGTCTTTGTATTCATTAACAATGGAAAGTGGTTTTAATATGGCTTTAATTGAGATCCGGCGGAAGAGTCCTTATCCGAGTGGCAGTGCAAATGAACTGGTACTCCGTAGACATCAGGAATATATGTTTCATAGCGAAAGTTTTTTAAATATAAAGCTGTAAAAATATGTTGTAGTTTCAATAAATATTAAATATTGCATATAAGTACCTCAATAGAATATTTTATCTGATATTTAGACTGGGATATATGCTTTTACTAGAAAAGGGCTTGAAGTCATTAAAAGCTATTCTGAAAAAGATATACATATATTAAGTTTGTTGTTAAGGAATTCAGAGAAAGGTGAAATCTAAGTCTTTACCGAGTGTAATCCAAATACAAATTCCAGCTCCCCTATAAAACTCCTCGCCCTGAAGGACAACGTCCATGCAGGTAACTCAATCACATCGCACATCGTAGTCGGAGCACTCTCCGAAATCGGACTTGAGAGTGAAATAGGCAGCCAAACAGATGGCACTAACCAGGGCCAGGACACCCAGCCAGTAGACTATCCGCCAGAAGGGCCAGGGTCCCGACGGCTTCTTCTTATCCTTTCGCCCCGATCGTCCGGCCTCACCCTCGTCGGAGGCCGCGTCCCCACGCCTTCGTCGCCACAATCTGCGCAACTTGTCCATGATATTGCTCTGACTTCCGGTGCTGTGCCCCTTTTTTGTTTTTGCTCAATAATTGATTGGATTTTCCCGGGTAACTCGACAACAAAAACAGAATGATAACATTTTATTGAAATTACTTAGCCGAGGGCGGGTAGAACGAGCACAAGATTCGTCTTGGTGGCAAAACTTTTGGCTAATTATTTAAGTTAATTGGCCTTTGTCCGCAAAAGGCCAGTTTTGGAATGACGATGATGAGAGTGGTTGGATGGTAAGAGGTTATAGGGTGGAAGGTCAGGCCTAAAATATTTGCACAAAGGCCGCAAAATGTCTCGCAAATTTGTTCAAATTACTTGAAACACCGAAAGGACTTCGACATCCTTACAACCAAAAGTCCATGCATAAATAAAGTGGTATTCCAGCCTCAATCCTCCATTCCTCTCCCCCCAAACTGTCCAACTCGAATATAAAAGGACCTTGTTTGCGGTCCACAGAGTGAGAGATGAAAAGTCATTTCTCTCCATTATTTGCCAACTAATTGGTTGTAGGACTTGGCCATATTGTGTGCAATTCTGGCTTAAACATTTACCGAGGAGGGATTTTTGGAATTTTGGCAAGGTGTCGAATGCGGCAGTCTCATCCATCACTTCCCGGACCCATCATCCTTTGGATGCCTTTGGTTTTGGTTCAATTAATTGGCCAAATGAAAGATGCGCATCCTGCCAATGCATTGAGAGCCACTTAAGTTGTTCCTTATTCTTATTTCTGTGTGTGCGTTGCTGTGTGCGGGTGGGCTGGCCTGATTTTAAAAGGATGTCTGTCGGCAAGGACTGCCTGACTCCCTGGCTTCTGACTGGTTTTCCCCCAGCGATGATGCCCTTTTGAATGTGCCACTGCCTCAATTTCAGTTTCTGTTTGATGTTAATGAAAGTTTCCGTCGTGCAAATAAAGCCAAAAGCATGGAAATCAGTAAAACAAATTGCAATCTGCTTTTTATCGCACGTCGCTGCATGACAAGGACCAAAAGGCTCCTGGCTGACTGCCTGACTGGATGGCTGACTGGTTGGCTGGCTGGTTGCTTCCTTTTTCCATCATCGATTGGCTGGCTTCGCCTCCTACTCTCCCCACTGGCCAGGCCCAGGCCCAGGCAGGCTATTGACTTGCTCATTATGGCCCTGATGATGACTGCTCTTGCCAAGGCTTTTGCTTCTTCTTGGCACCCAGTTCCGTTTCATTTTCAATTCGTTTTCAATTTACTCTCCGGCAGAGTACAAAGCATGGATGCTATTTTCATTTCATGCCCGTAGCTGGTATCCTGTATCCTGCATCCGTATCTCTGTATCGCTGTATCGTGGCCCGGCAATCAGGAGGCCATAAATTGTTAATATATTTTAACGGATATTCAATTTCCCCACTCACTAGCCACAAAAACGCATTAAACTCGCAACAAAGCTAAGCCGCTTCAACCGAACGACGCCAAAAATTGTTCAACGCCAGACCGACGAGGTAATATTAAAAATTCAAAGTCCTTATAGAATGGCTAGAAACTTTCTGCAGTCCGGGGCCAAGACATAATAATAATATAGAACAAAAAAAAAAAGGAAAAACTTAAAAATAAAATAAACCAGAAGCCGGAGCAGGAGCAGCAGCACGAGCCGGACTGGCAAGGACAATGAGGAGACAACAAGCAAACTATGAACTGAGAAGCTGAGAAACTGGGAAACTGAGAAGATGCCGAGAAACTCAACTATGCCCAAGTTGGCTGTCCAACTGTTTATTTTCACCAGGACTTCGTCTTTCACAGGATTCGGCCTTATTACGCTTGGCGGCCCATCAGGCGATCTGCATGGCCAGAAGGCAGGGGTGTCGGCAGTGCATAAGGACGTTGCACTTATAGAAATTATAGGGCATGAGTCATTGGTAGATATGTAGGAGTATAACTAATATTCTCCCCTCATTTCTCTCTGTGTATTTGTGGCAGCATCACCAAGCTACTTGTCAACTAACTTTGCAACAATAATCGCCAACGTTTCGAGACACCAAGGGGCAGTGGCAAGTGGCAGTGACAGAACTGAAATACCAGCTCGCAGATAAAAACCAGAAAACAATAAGACCTAAGGCTGACTTTTATTCCGTCTGTCCCAGTCATCCCAACCACCCAACCACCCACGATTTTCACGTTTTAGTGCACTGCGACTTTCAGAAGCGTTTACCCTCGAAAATGACTAAGGTCCTCAAAGGACCAAGAGTCAAGAAAGGCACGAACAGCAAACCCAATAGGCTGAGCAATGAACTCACAAGAAAAGGCAAAAAGGAGTAAAGGACCTCTTCAGACTTATGAATGACTTTGCACAAAAGATGTGATTGCTTTTTTCTTTGAATTTTATCGAGAGACAAATAAAAAAAGAGTATAGATATTAAATTAAAAATAGATTTAAAATTAAAAATTAAATGAAAAACTTAAATACCAACAGGCTTATGGCACAAAATTCAATTCAAGTGCAGAGTAATCTCATTTAATTAAAAGGAATCTTTTATGCCAACTTTTTGGTTCATTGAAGTATTGAATTAGTCCTTTCGCCGCAGGGGGTTGCTATAGTCCTGTAGGATTTTGCATTGTCGGGAAAGTGTCTGTTTTCCCAAAGCCTTTTTCCCGAAAAAGAGCAAAGTAAAACTAAAGCGACAGTGGATAGCAGGATAGTAGATAGTGTGTGTGGCATATGTAAATTTCAAGCTAATTAAAATTAGCATATATTTTCCCCCTTTTGTGAGGACATATGCGCTGACTAAGAGGGGTTGTGTGTTTGTTTGTGCCACACACACACACACACTAACACTCTCATAGACACAAACACAAACACATACTCACACCAACACATGGCTCAGCCACAAGAAGACGTGGAAAACTACGCGACGAGAGCTGATTAAAAGAGAAAGCTAACAAGCGTTTGCTCTTTGCCCCCCTTGTTGGTCCCGCCCCCTGCCCCCACACACACACACATAGCACACACTTACATGTATGCCAGAGGGGGTTTCTGTGTCATTTCGACTCTGCATTAGAGTCGTAAAAATTTATTGCAACTTTTTTTTGTTTCCAGTCGACCCCAGTCTGAGCTGGTGGGCTTAAGGCATTATGCCTTTTAATTAAACCGTTGAGATGTGTGTCAGCCATAAAAATAAACCCTAATGGAATAAAATTTTACACATTTCTTTAAAACATGCATACGCCCGTATAGCCGTTTAAATTGTTCTCCTTTGCCTACAAAGCTTCTTATTAATTATGATAATTATGCTTTAGCGCTGGCTGGCATTTTAATTGCTCATCCGCCATGTTGCACATTTTTTATGAAAAATCCATGAAAGGGAAAAAATTAATCAAAAAAATCTTGTATATATACAATGTATTTATAAAAAGAAAAATATTACATTTCCCATTAAGTAGCATACATCAATTCGTAGATGAGTTCACTTGGCTTGGTTGGGCGCTCAGGATGCACTGTGTCCTTGGTCCGAGTCCTTTGTTAATTGCCGGAAATGCAAATTGCGGGGTTTGGGCAAAATGGCGAAGCATAATGGGTGACTGGGATAGACATTAAAAGCCGGAAAGTAAAGGAGAGGTTAAGGAGAGTGCGATTCTCTCGACCATAAATGATTTCCATTTTAAATGCGTGCGTAACGATTTTCCTTTTTTTCTTATTTAGTTTTGGAGGTGAGACAGCTTCCTCTCCATTCCTGGATGGGCCCTGGGCCCACTTTGTAAGCAATTTTCGTTTTTCTTCACAGGAAGGACAACGACAACGACAACGACTTTGGCTTCACACCAAATTTGATTTCACTCGCAAGACGTTCCCAGCTCTCAGGTTAAATGGTGCAGAAACTCCTGTTGACTGTGTGTGTTGGTTGGTTGGTGACCCCAAAGCCGGGTCTTGGGGTCCCTGGTTCTCGGGATCTCGAAATGAATTTAAAAGCCACTCCAGCGGAGTGAGTCCGAACCAGTCCGATGGCCAAATCCGGTTTGTTGTCTCTCTATAAATAAATGTCACAAGTTTTACATTTCAATAGCGGACCAGAGAGCCGGGCATTCGCTGTCAATTTGTGTGTCTCTCTAGCAGCGCATTTGCATAACAAAATTGCCATGCATTTCTCATTCCGTTGCCGATTTTTTTGCTTTTTTTATTTGGTGTTTGCCATTTTATTTTTTATTCTCAGACTGCCACATGCTCTTTGAACTTTTGCAGTTGAATGTCGAACTCTCCAAAGTCGAAGTCTGAACTCTTCGTAAGAGTCAGTTATCCATTTGCAGCTTTGCAAGTTTTGACTGCAGAATGTCAACAAAATAAATGCATAAATAAGGAGATCGGCGTGTCAGGCCACCACGCCCCTTACCAACCAACGCCCACCCCGGGATGCTGCCCCTTTGAAGAGGTCTCAATATAACGAGATGATGAAAAATGTTTGAGTTTTGCATTATTAAAGTTCTTCACTGGCAGTTGGCAACTTTTCACGTGCTGATAAATGGCTCTCGGGACGAAGGAAGCTGAAGCTGAAGCTAAAGCTGAAAGAAAAAAAATCGCAAACTACAAAAAAAAATGTGGAAATATCTCCACTCATTCCTTCTCGGGTGTGAACATCTTTCAATTGAAATATATACACGTCCCTGGCTTTATATCTCCATAGCTCTCGGCCAAAAGAAAACGAGAGAAAAAAGTGTAGCATACTTTTTTGGGCGTCTTAAGCATCCACCTTCCCAGTATCATCAGTATCCTTTAATTCTTTTCACATCAATCCATTTATTGTAAAATACGCTGTTTTTAGGGGTTTTCCTTTTTTTTTTAGTTTAGTTTCTTAATTTACAGGACATAAAATGTATACAGATTATTACATAGTTTATAACTTATGCGCTAAATGCAATTTTTAGCTCTTGTTGATTTTTAGTTTTCTTCCATTTTTTGTTTCTTTTAGTATTTTTGGTATACGCAAAACTGCAGAAAATAGTATTTCTTGTATTTTTCATATAAACTGTCTTATTATTTCGTAGGCCTTGGTTTGCTGCAACTATTTCTTGGTTTGACTTGATTTCTTTGGCATGCGACTGCATCGGTATTTTTGGGGGCGGATTTTCTTGGGTTTTTCTTATTTTCTTTTTTTTTTTTTTGAGTTCTAAGCAAGCACTATCCATTATCCATATGGTACAACAATTACAATTACAAATACATTTACCAACGCTAATTAGATGTATACCTCATATGACTGATATGGTGGAACTTAGACTAATCCATTGAAAATTCTTACTATATCGCCTGTCTGTATATTTATTATTTGTCTGAGATGAGCCTAAACCAAGATTAGGCCGCCTACTGATGCCCTTACCAGCTAACAATTAGTTTAGGTATTTTAGGTTCCTCTTTAGATTATACGTCTAGACATTAATGCCGATTCCTCTCGAAAAATGATATGCTCGCGCCTTTTCATGGGATTGCGGCTCTCGATTTAGTTAGAACCGAATGCGGAACTTAAGCCTCTATGAGATCTTGTTGAAAGACCAAAGAATTTCATATTTATACGGGTAGAATGGTTATGCTACATTACGCATACGCCTAGTGTACTCTAAGGCCAGAGTAAGCTCCATACGAAGGATTAACTAACGCTATAACTTAGATCTGAAATCGGGGGATCTCTATAGTATATATACACAATGCGGACTCTATTTTACACATCGACTGGCACACGGGATCTTTGAGATCGGCACATCCCACCGACCACAGTGCACTCCCAACTATAGTAGGCATGGCTCTGGTGGTTCACTGTAGCAGTTGCCCGCTCACTTACGCTGCCCTCGCCACCGTCTCCGTCTGCGCCGCCGCCGCCGCCTCCGTCGTTCCTTTTGTGGTTGGGGCTGGTGTGGTTGTCGCTGCACTACTCGGTGGTGCAACGGCAAGCGGCAGCGCCGGACAATCGGCGGCGGGCAGACGCTTGACCAGCATCCGGGACGACTTGACCGCGATCCATTCGTTGCGAGCGGCATCGAACCAAGTCAGCCCCAGATTGTACCGCCCATTGAGATTGGCGTGCTGGCAATGAGAGAACCACCAGCCACCCTCATAGTTAGCAGCACAGTGCGTCTGCGAAATGTCCCTGTCGTCGTCGATCGCCGAGAACTGCATCCCCTGCTGGTAGTTGAGGGCGTCCGATGCATTTCCGGCATACTCTCCGATGTGCAGCCGATACCCGTCCGCCCGCGATGAGATGTAGAAGCGTCCGTACTCGGCCACCCAAACGTCGTCGTAGATGTCCTGCATCTCCACCCGCAGCCGGCTGCAGTTGTCCAGCGTCAGGTGGTGGAGCTGCTCGTTGCCCATCCAGAACTCGCCGCCCGGCGAGCCGAAGCCCCGGGCATAGTCCACCCAGGAGCGATTGAAGTCGGTGCTGCCATCAAAGCGCCGCTGCACGGTCGTCCAGCCATCGGCGGTGCAGTGGGACATCAGGGGATGACGCTGGCCGGCGGGTGCAATCAGATGCAGTCCGTCCTGCTCGATGTGCACCTCGCTGCAGTCGTGGGGCAGCTTGTTGACGATGGCTTCGTACTGGGTCTCCACGTTCTCTAGCTCGCTGACCAGACTCTCAGCCAGAGCCGAGTCAATGGTGGCCGGGTCCTGGAGCGCCTGCTGGTGGTGTGGGCGCTTGTGGGGCTTGTTCAGGTGGGAGAGCTGCAAGGAAGTAGAAAAAAGGAAGAAAGAGGGTTAGCAAAGAGGACTCTCACATCCTGGACGCCTTTTCTATGAAAGCTATCTCTAATCTTGTAGAATCCTCACCTTGTTCTTCACCTCATCGTTCACCAGAGACTGCAGACGATCCACATTGGTTCTCAGCTCATCCACATTGGCGGTCAGCTTGCGCATGCCCTCGCGTTCGTCCTGCAGGACACTCACACTAACGGCCATGGCCTGCAGGGATCGGGCCGCGTTCTTGCCCTCCTCCCGCACCAAGCTCTGCTCGGAGGTGATCTGGGCGTTGGCGAACTCCAGCTTAGAGATCTCGTGCCGCAGCTCGGGGATGCTTTTGTCCATCTTGGTCTGCAGACCCTCGACGTCCTCGAGGAGCTCCAACATGGAGGTGTGCAGCTTGTCCAGGGAGGCGATCTGGCTGCTCAGATTGAAGTTGGCATTGGCGATGCGATGCTGCTCCACCTCCAGGCTGCGCACTCGCTCGTCGATGTGATGGAACCGCAGCTGGTTCACCTGGCGGCGGAGATTCCTCTGGGCCATCTGGAGATTGTGGATCTGTTCGCTCTGGAAGCGGCAGTGTCTGCGCTTGTGATCCGCCGTGGATTCAAGGCCAACAGCCTGAAAGGATACAAAAAATGGAAAAGAAATTAAAATGGAATCCTTAACACAGACAAGTCCTGGCAGAATATCTGAGATTGTGTTGGAAGTACGCGGGCTAGGATTATGTCTGGCTGAAAATGAAATGCTAAATCCTGTTATTATAAATGCATTTCATAACCATGGGATGAGCCAGTGGTTGGGTGAGAACAATAATGTCAGTTTCAGCTATAGCTTATGCTCCTCCTCATGCTGCTGCCATCCTGCCACTGCTCCTGTTCGTGAATCATATCCCACTTCCAGCGCAAGCCAGAAGCTTTGCCCAAAGCGTGCAAATCCCCGAAGCTGAAGCTGCTTTTACTTCTTCTGCTGACGTGGTTCTGAGCGTGGGCGTGGGCGTGGGAGTGGGCGGGATTTCTCGGCCCACTCCCGATGGTAAAAGCTGCATAAATTTCCACACACACACGCCCATACAATATGCATAGAAATAATTTTTCTGAGTGACAGCAGAAGCAGCAGCAGCTGTAAACCAAGGTAATGCCATTTGGGTCACATTCATTCCAGCCCTGAATATAGTCCTGCGATCTATTCTGTTATATGCTCCTTTCATTTGCGAATCCTTTCTTTTATGTTTGTGTGAATGCGTGGCCATCAGTCATAGAAATGTCCTGGGTAATTGACTAATAAAGGGTCCTTGCCGGCGGCAAAAAGGCACCAGCAAGTATCCTGCTAATGAATGCAATGAGTGACTGAATGGACCCCGACGAGGACAAGCCGGAATTATGAAATGACAACAAGCGAAAGGAGATTAAAAAGTTCACTCTGTTGAACTTTTCACTTTGACTTTGTCAGGCTTTATTTAGGTGACCCAAATAATATTTAAAATAATTGAAAGAATGGGAGAATTCCTTAAATTGATTCACTGTTTGACTTTCACAGTTAAAAGTCACACCGTAAATATATTTTATTTTGAGGCAATTTTTTGGAGATTTCCTCCTCAAATTCAATTATTCGTCGGACAAACAGAAAGCGGCAAAAAGTAAATAAAGGCCAGCGCCTGGCCTGGCCAGCAGTGGGAAATATGGAAAATGTTCATGAATATTTATGCCGATGGTGGCGTTTGTTGCGTTTGTGGCACATCGAACACTGTTCGGCGGGGAGAGAGCATTTGGAAATGTTTTCATTGGTGGGGCGGGAGATGGGGGCAGTCCGCTTTTCCGCATTTTCCTTTCTTGGCGCGTCTCCTCTTCTCGTCTTTTTTTTTTTTGTTTGCTTTGCCTTCACGCACGTTTCGCTTCTGGGGCTGCAGTGGGCGGTGGCAGTGGGTGGCAGGACATGCTCCACTCCAGCTCCAGACCTCCTTCAGTCCTCCTTCAGTTGTTTTATGTGAAAGGTCACGAACGCGGCTAATACGACACGTTCGCGTTTTATATGAACTCTGGCCAAGGCGGGAAGTGGCCATCAAAAACGAGAAATCCTCAATATACATATATATATGCGTATATATTATATGTATGTTTTTCGGGCGGAAAGGTGCCACTGGCTGGCGTATAAATTTCGCCCATCAACGCTATAATTAAATGTGATTTATGTGGCTCAAATTTCCCGCCAACTTGGAGACAACTCAAGCTGGTCTGTGGGCAATGGACGCGTTAATTGAAATCGAAATTGATGAATAAATATGTAAAGTGCCTGCCAGTTTGTTTCGGCCAAGTCATAAACAAGCAGGTCCTTCCAAAAAGGGGAGGAGGATCTAATTAATTTCCAGCCACACTGAACGTTCGCCGGCGCTTCAAGGATTAAAAGTGAAAATTTTACATGCTGTACTTAAGTGAAAGCTAACAAGGATTCGCTATTAGCCTGACAGCAATTCCAAAGGGGCAGGGGTTGCCAGGAAGCTTTGTGCATAGCGCATTGAAAAAAAAAAACAGAAAAAATGAGCAAAAATCTGCTCCTGTTACTGCCACTCCTGGTAGTCCTGCTACCCAGGATTCCTCGTCCTGCTCGCCGCTTCACGGCAAATTGTCGTAAAAATTTAATAGGACTTTTGTGCGATGCTTGAAAAAGTTACGCTCAACTGCAGATAGACACAAAAAGGCGCGGGCCGAGGGCAGAGGTCATGAGGACTGGAGGACTGAGGGACTGGAGGCGGGGGCACCTAGGGTGCCACAAAATGCCATTAACTTAATGCGCATTTTGAGCGCAGAGGAGCCGGGACGACCTCAACGGAAATGGCACAGCCTCAAAGTCAACGTCAACGTCAACCTGATCCCTGGCCAAGAACTGGCAGACGTGTGCATAATTTCAAACTAAAATATTTCCCACAAACATCCTCCTCCTCTCATATTTAATTTCCAAGAAAAACTCTGAAGTTGCAGATGAAATCCGAGACTTAACGGGAAATGTTTCAATAAAGATGATTCTCATGAAATATATATCCTGTCGGCCTCCAGAAGGACTCCAACTCGAACAATCAAACAAATTGCCGGCAACAGACACACTAAAGTAAGGAAAACCAGAAGCTCTGCCACCAGAGATGGGTTGTAACATGAAACAAAAGCAAAACAAATATCAACATAAATAAGGTAAAAATGCCAGTTAGTGGGAGGATTGGATGGGTGGGTGGTTGGGTGGGTGGCTGTTGCCAAAAACAAACAAACATAGAAAGCAGTTGCCTGGAACCGAAACCGGATTCTCCGTGTCAGGCAGCCTTGGGGAGCCTGCCAGACTGCCTTCCTGCCTTTTTCAGAGTGCCAGTGCCTGCTCCTGCCTGGCATTTGTTTGCCTTGCTAATTTAACAGCCAGCCTCTCATATTCCATGCCGGCTTGCTGGCCCATCCCCAGTTATAGATAGTGTAGTATAGTATGGCATCAATAACCAATGATAAACATGGAGAGTATTTCTTTTCTGGCCCACCAACTGTTGCAACTGACAGCTTTCGTCAAAGCCATTTGTTACACAATCCCGGCCTGGAATATCTATTTACACTCCATATACCCATATGTCCTTTATATATCACTAGCATCCTTTTGCAGACAGTTGGCAATTAGAGCCAATCACTTGCAGATGCCACAAGTCAGGGCATCTATACCTTTGAGCCTTAATTCACTTAATTTCTTAAATTTAATTATTCATACTGTTCTAACATTTTTTTCCTCGAAATCCTTGTTATTTATGTTACTTTCTTATTTATTTATCTTTAATATCTCTTGGTTCGAGGAAGCACTTTCCCAAAAAAAAGAAAACGCTCTCCATGGCCCTCTGGCCCGGTCCCTAATCCCCCAAGGTATTTCTGGTTTTTTGCATAACTTTTTTGCCCTGCTTTGTACTTTCTTCTCGGGCTAATCAAATAAAAGAAAGTTGATTAAATTCAACCAGCCACAAACACAGACACACTCTCTTATAAAATATTTTTATCTATTTTTTGGTTCTTTGTTTCTCCTGCCAGCCTTGGCCACCTGTGCATTTTCTATTGTTTGTATGTTTATTCGTACTTTTATTTATTTTTAGTCCTTGAACTCTTGTCAGTGGGTATCCTTCAGTGGGTATCCTGGATCTTTGTAATCTGCTCTCTTTTCTCTTGCTTTTTTGTTCTAATTTAACCTAATTTCTGCTTTGCTGCGCTTTTATAATAACAATTTCCAAAAATTGCTTTTGGTTTTTTGGTCTTATGGGAAAGTACAAGAACTGGTTTTGATGGTCAGGTTGCCCTCCTCAGGGTGCTCCTCCTCTCCTCTTGCTGGCTTTTATGTGGGAAAGAAACCAACAAGAGAACAAAAAAAAAACGTAATGAAAAGGATCAAATTGTGCTGAAGCATCGCGAACAGCAGTGCTTCAGGAGGCAGGGATGGAGGATGGAATACCAGCGGGGTCAACTGATTATCGGAGCACTTGAGAGCATCTGCCGCTGCTCCAGCGTCGTCTCCATTTCCAACTCCTGTTGTTGTGGCTGCCAAAAAGTTGCCAAGACAAGAGACAAAGGCAAGGTCTGTCTGTCTGTCTGTCATCCAGTTCCCGAAAGCAGCTGGCCAATGGGCCCCTCCGCCTCCCTCGGCCTCTCCTGCTTCTTGGCCAAGGGCGATTAAAAGGTTATTTCCTGCTTTTTGTTTTGCAATTTTCAGCAATTTCGCTTTATATTTGGCAACGGCCTGGCCATTAATGATATATAAACATATACACACGCAACTGGCCACTCGCAGCTCACAGGATACATGTGACGACTGGCCCTAGTGATCTATCGAAAGCGGCTTAAGCCGCTTGGCTGAACACATAATCCCCCCGGTGCCCCACAAAGGGATACTTAAAGAATCTCAAGGGTATGAACAGTTCAAGATGGTCAACTGACTCTGATTGCCAAGCACTTGAGCTTCAATTTTCTAGCTGAATTAATCCAAAGTAATTAAATTTTCATGAAAGATTATAAAGTTAATTAATTCTGATATATGACATTGGGTATCAAGAAGTCGTATAACTGAGAGATGCATGGCATTATTGTTTCTCTTGGATATTTTTCTTATATTTTCTTAAATTCCTATTTCGCCCTTTTTTTTGGAGATTGGCAAGTAATTGCTTTAGCCTGGCTTTTGTGGGCGAACAAAGCCAAAAGCCAGAACCAGAGCTGCAGAATTTCTTAGCTAAAAATATTCCTCTAAACAAGCAAATTTCGAAAAGCTTAAGACCAACTTCAAAGTGAAACACTGGCAGGAGGAACAGCAACAGCAACAAGATGAAAACAGGTGGCTGGGAAACCAGTTTGCTGGGAAGAGCGGCCCCACTGACATATTTCGTTGATGGTCCGAAGCGACGTAACCGCATTCTCATATTGGAGCGAACCGTAGCATAATCCTTTTAATGAAGCAACCTGGAGCTTGTTACTCCTGGAGCCCTCCACGCCCCCTTCTAGTCCCTTCCCATAACCTGTTGGCAGCTGCCTTTGTTTTCCCTCGAACTGGACCCATTGTTGCTGTTGCTGCTGTTGATGTTGCAAGTTGCTCTGATGTTGCTGGGTGCTGTGTGCTGGTTGCAGGCTCCTCGTTGCTGTTTCTCGTTCCTGCTAGACCGTTATTGACATTAATTATAATTAAGGAGCTGCTAGGGCGTCGAGTCCTTTCCGCAGTATGGAGAAACCAACTATAGCAACTAGAGCTTCAGCTGCAGATCCGATTTCGGCCCTTGAGTTATTCCACCCATCACTCAGACCAATACTGACATAAGAGGTAGCTACCAGAAACGAGCCAAAGGATGCCACTGATCATTACTCCATTTGGGGAAAATCTCTTTACGATTCTGCTGGGCTCGGGAATATTATGCCATTGAGTGGCTTGACTTGAATGCGGGGCTAAGTGGCTGCCAGGAGCGAGCCGGCTTCGGCATTAAATATTAAATACGACATCGTCCTTCGTCCTGCGTCCTGCGGTGCGTATGAGTAATTTCGGGCAACGTATGTGGCAGGCCATTAAAATGGCAAAACGGCAAAAGGTACAGGACCCCCGAACAAGTCCTCTCGAAGAAGTTACTTCGTCCACAATCGTTAGCACATCGTGCCTCACCTGACACAAGCCCTGGCCGTATAAAATAAGGCATAAAACGGCCAGATAATGCCTCACCAGGTTGGCGGTCTCTTTATGGAGGACGCACTTAAAGCAGAAAACAAAACAAAGCGGCTTTGGTTCGTGGGGGAAGGACATAAAGCGGCACTGCAAGAAATTCAAGGGTTTCTTTTTATAAAGAATCAAATCCTAAACAAAATCTAGTCCTAAATGGATACTAAGGATAGTCAATTCAACTACAACTACCCTTTCTTGCCGTGCAGGACCTTTTCACCGGGGCCCTTGCGTGCTTATCTGATCATTAGCATAAAGTTGGTACCCACCTCTTGGCTGGCTTCCACACTGCTGCTCTCCTCCTCCACGCTGGCCGAGCCCCTCTCCTTTTGATCCTTTTTCTGCAGCTTGACGAGGGCATGCTGGAAGTCCTGCTCCTGCTGGAGCATCTCCTCGCGCAGCTCCTGGACAAACACCTCGGTCTGCTGTTGCCTCTCCCGCTGGGCGGCCAGTTCCAGCTTGAGCTGCTGATAGTCACTACGAATGGTGGCCAGGTCCTCGTAGGTGGAGCTACGCTGCTGCACATCCTTGGCCACGTTGCCGGCACTGCGCTGCAGTTCCACCAGTTGTTTGCGAATCTCCGAGATGGACTGCTGCAGCCATTCGACGGTGAGGCGCTCCTTGTTGCCACTCTGGGCGGCACGCAGCGTGGCCACCTCGTCCCTGTGTCGGCGAGAAGGAAAATTAAATTAAAAACGTGTCTTTAATTAGCAGCAGCGTAAAGCTTTAATTGCTTGTATTGGCCAGGTCCGGGCCGGCCAGACCGACCAGACCAGAGAATCTAATTTAAATTGACATTTTCAGGCTGGCGGCTAACGTAATTGCCGATGCGGCTGGCGTGTGGTCCACTAATGGGATTTCGTCCTGCACTCAATCAGCCTGCCCGCTCCTAAAATCCTGGCCCACTTTCGACCATTTAAGTTAAACATGGCCGAATAATTTCAGCCCGAGGCCGGAAACAATGTCAGCAAACAGAAATCACAGAAGTCATTCCGGCCAAATTAACAAACAAAAACAAATGAAAAATTTACTAAACTTGGCCCAAAAAAAACACAAAAAAAACCCACAGAAAGCAAGTACTATGGAAAATGAAAATGTTGTAGCACTTGTGGCAGTTGCCAGCCAGACAGCTATCCCGCCAGCCACCAAAAAAAGACGGAAAACAAGTCGAACGCATTTTTGTGGCATTTCAGACAATTAAAGTAGTCAGTTAGAAGGAAACGGAAGCGGAACCAGGACACAAGAGCAAGAAGAAGAAGCCGCAGCCTGAACAAATTCGTGGCGTAGGTAAAAAGTTTAAGGGAAGGAAGGCAGCATGAACAGCAGCTGCTGTTGTTCTTGTTTTATTTTTCACTGTCAAAAGACCAAAAGCTACATGAAATTTTTATCAAAAAAAAAAAAAAACAACAAAATATAGAACTACAAGTTTTGGAAAAAAAAAAAAATTTAAGAAGAAAACTTTGGTGTTTCTTGGCCTGGCATACATCACATTTGGTTACATTTTTATTCTCGGTGGCGTATACGTAATATTTCAAATTGTTGCTTCGAGCCACAGTGTGTGCGTGTTTATACATATTTCTTTGTGTTTTTTTTTTTTTTTTAATTTTATGACTCGGAAAAGTTTTGTGGCCCAGACCAGACAGTCGAGACCACCATGTTGAAAAGTTATGTTTCTGGCAAAAGGTTTTCAGAATAATATTCTGTTTTCAACACCCAGATCCTGCCTCCCACTCTCTTTCCCTTTCGTTTATTTTTTAGGATAATTACTTAAATATTTAATTAAACTAGGGTTGGAGGTTGTTCGGAAACTGTGTGGTCTGGACATGAGATGAGATGAAAAACTTGTTTCTGTTTTTCCTTTTTTTTTTTTTGAATGAATGAAAGCTGATGGGTTTTTTGTAGCCAAAGCAGAAAAGTAAACACTGCCACTACTACCACTAATATTTGCCATGTTGGCCGGATTCTATCTGGATTCTGGGAATCACCTAAAATGTGCATTACTGTCCAAAACAAACCGTTAGACCCCGTTGTAATGCCAACCCCTCGACGAACTCGTATTTTTCCCATTCGCTTGGCAATTTTTCGCATGGATGATGCACAGTTTTGGTTATTTTTTTTTTTTTTTAGAAAAGAAGAAAAATCGGTGGGAAAAAAAACAGGGCGCTGTCATTCAAGTGAAAATTGAAAACGCTGTCAATGACATGCGAGTAAATTGAAAACGCAACATGAACATTGCAATGACGAAGCTGGAGCTTCTACGGTCATGATTTGATGATGTCTGATGGCGCGCAGTCCAAGGATTCAGCTACTTTAATTACCAAATGGATGCATTCGAGTTAGTTTCATCCATGGCTGGTCAGGGGTGCTGGTACTGGGGGAATATTATCAAAATTCAACCAAAAACACGGCAGCCACACGCCAGCCAGTCGGTGCACTCAATCAGATAATGATGTCCTTGCTATCCATGGAGAGGGCGTGGCTAAGGGACAACGAGTCGGAAGTCGGTATGTGCGATAGTGGATCACATAAACCACAACTGACATGACGTTTGACTGGCATTTGCCTTGGGACTTCCTTAACTTCTATAATATATATATATATGTGTGTGTGTGTTTTTGGAGAGTCCTGTCTGCAAATATATGTATGTTTATTCGTGAGCGTGTGTGTTGAATTATTTACGGTGTCACTGACAAAGTTACGATGTCCACGACAGCAACAACAAATAGTCTAACCTTAGCTATTTGTACAGTAAATTAAGAGTGTGCCATTTTTACGTATTTTTTACGCTGCTGTTCTGCTGTCCTGCTGTCCTGCCACAAACGAGCCAGGACTCTCTACTAATACTGATGAGTATGGTGTGTGTGTTCTGCTCGATGAGACAATCATTATTAGTCAGCCCATGACAACAGAACAAATCACGAATACTACGCAAACTTGGGGCTTGGCCCATGGCTCGTGTCTTCGTCCTGATTAGATGTCTTATCCTGTTTCGTCCCCAACTCCCCCCACTACTCCTCCGCCACAATATATTTGTCTGAATTAGTCGGACACAGTCCTGTTCCGCATTCGAATTCTTTTCCTCCTCAGATGGCCTTAAAGTAGAGACTTTTTTGGGCATATTCTTAAGTTTAAATTCTAATTTTCTTTCTTAATTAAGCAACAGGTCAGTAAATTTAAAAAATCCAATTTATTTTTCCCAATTATAGCCAGAGTTGCATGTTCTACGTGACTCTCTTTGGCCAACTTTTGGGGGGTCGCCATACTAATTACCAATTCAGATTCGATTGGATGGCCAGGATGACCGGGCTAGTGGCTAGCTTACCTGAGCTGCTTCAGTTCGCTGCGCATGTCGGCATCGGCGCTGGCCGCATCGGTGGTAAGCCGCAGGGATTTGCGCAGATTGTGCTCCAGCATCTCGTAATCCTCGCGACGCCGCAGCATCAGGGCGCCCAATTGCTTGGTCAGCAGTCGCACCTGGTCGCCCAGCTGCTTCTGGGTTAGTGTGCCACTGGCCTTGCCGCTCGATACTGTTTCCAGGGAGCTCAGATCCTCGCTATCCTCCTCGTCGTCGTCCACGAAGCGTAGCAACTCGACACTGGACTCCAGCGAATCCGTTTCCGGTTTCTGTTTCGACGGTACAGGCTTTTCCGATGTGGCAACTGCCTTGGTGGCGTCGCGCAACATGTTGTTTACGTCGCTGAGGACCACACCGCTGACTGCCCCACGGGCGGGGGCCACCAGGCAGACCGCTGCCAGCAGAAGAATTAGCCGCAAAACGTTGGTGCCTGCCATTGTTGCAGGACTATTTAGATGCTCGGGAGGATGGGTCTTTCTTTCAGTTGTGGGAATGTTGTTTTCGCTATTTTTCATTCACGGCGCGCCAAAAAATAAACCGGAATTCAAGTTAGACGGCGAATTTATGCAAATTAGTGGCACGCATGCCGACACAACAAAGCACACACACAGAGACACAGTCGTAGGCCGCCCACGCACCGCTGAAGGACTCGGGCCAGCGACTTCCCGACGGCGTGACAGTCAAACACCTTATAAAAGGCGCTGGCAAACAATGTTACAATTATTCCAGGAGCTCGCCTCGGGCTTAATCCGCTTTGTTTCTCGTTCCGAAAGTTCGTACCGCGCACTGGTGGCTATATGGGGTCTATGGTCTACTCGATTTCACTTCAGTTGCCTACTTCTAGGCGAAGACTACTGGCAGCGCGGCGTTCGTCAAAGGACTGAAGCGGCGGCGGCTTCAGGATGTCCTTTTATACGCGCTGCCAACCCGACGTTCGGCAGACTTCGCCATTTGTCGGAACCGAAGAGAGTGTTCGGGAGTACGAAGTTGTTGGGGGAGTAAGAGAGCGGCAAGTGCGAAGTTTGTGTTGCGAGAGAACGTGAAAGTGCCCAGGTGTGAGAGAGAGTTAGCACCTGTACGAGGTGCAGGAGTTAAAAAATATAACAATTATTAAACTTTATTCTATATTTTTTTTAAATTTTATTACTTTTTAAACAAAATACCCTACATTAAATAAATACTACTAAATTTCTTTGAGTGCCTACAGGTATGTTTGTGGGCGAGAGTCCATGTCAGGGAGTGAGAGAGCATGCAACAAGCATACCTAAGAGAGCCGCCAAAGAGAAAGTCCACTTTAGTCACCTAAAGAGCAAAATACAAGCGGCTAGTTGTTAGACTCGAACTAACTGTCAAAAATAAGGATTACTTTAATCCGAGATCATGGCCAACTGTTTGAATTGCTAGAAAGCAAAGAAAAGAAGCCAAAATGGCGTGGCAAGTATCCTTAGCCGTGCTTCCTGCCGCCATCCTGCCACTGACACATGGCGCGCTTGCGGTGAATCCACATTTTAGACAGCCGCTGCAATGCAAACGGCAGATGTTTAGGCCATAGGCCCATGGGCAGACGTAAAAGTGCGAAAACATGTTGACGTTCTCCGAAACAGAAAGCCAGGAGACCAAGAAGAAAGGGGGAGAGAAGACACTCACACACCCATACTAACAATGAGTGGCAACTGCAATCCTGGCAAGGACCTGAAAGAAATAAGGAAAATGCAAAACTGATGGAAAATAATGATTGGTTTTGTTTTCAATCTTGAAGGAAAAAGTTTATAATTACAAAAATAAAGTTTTCTTTGGATTTAATAAGCTTTCTTCTAAAAAGAAATTAATCAGAAACTAAAAAAAAAATTAAATATATGCGAATATTAAAGTTATATAGTTCCCTCTAGACCCAAAAGCTTTAAAAAATTTGTTCATTTATGGCACAGATTTTACGGCCATTTTCAGATAGAATCGTTGGGCCATTTAACCGATTTTCATCTCTGATGTTCATAAAACCCTACATTTTTTTGCTCCTGCCGGCAGGACAAGGATTAGTGGAATTGGGACCTCGGCCGTCTAACCACCCGACCGCCACTATCCTGTATCTGCACCTCGCCCACTGTTGGCCGTTCGCTTCGCTGATATTTTCCAGACATAAAAGCCGGAAAAGGTTTTAAAGTGCAAAGTTGGAATGCAGCCGCAAAAGTCAGTCGCAAAAAGGAGCATCAGAGCCATTGAATGGGTCGTGGAGCCCACTAGCTGCCGCATTGTTGCAATATGGATTCCCATAGCATGGAGCGGTGGAATGCGCCAGGACTATGCCAAAAAATGGGCGCACTGTACGCACCCCCAAAAAAAAAACAAAAAAAACGTTGTAAGCTATGCATTTTAACTATATTCTCTTCTTACCATAAATATGAAAGGGGTCTGAAGAGCCAGGGTCTGCGGGTCAACTCATTGGAACGCGCGCTTGGCTGAACACGGGGGGAGGGGGAGGACCAGCAAAGGGGTAGCACTGCACCAAATAAAGGGGGTGCAACAGTCTGCCATTGTTGGCACTTGCCGGTACTGTATTGCAATTTGCAATATATTAATACCCTTACAAGGTGTAGTCCAAAGTTGTTGGGTATTTATGTTTTATTTAACTTTTTTTTAACCTTTAAACTTAAATATCGCTTTAATCAAGCTCTCTTTATACTGTACTGTCCATTAAGAACAAGACTTTCAATATTTACTGCACTATAAATATTCAAAAAGTGTTTTCCTCTTAAAAAAGAGGAGGTTCGGAGTACCATCTATATTTTAATCATTTATTTCCTTTCAGAATTCCAGAAGAACAAAGAAAAATTCGTAAAGGATGAAAATAAAATTCCCCTAATATTCAATCCTTAAGATTTAAAGGTAAAATTACGCTGCTATTATTTGTTTTAGTTCTCATACTGGGATTTAATCTATTCAATATATGTATATTCAATATTCAAATGATGTATAATCGTAGCTCCATTAAAGAAATTTAATGAATTCAAGGAATATATTGCTGTAACTTTCTATACCTAAGTTGAATTACAATCCACCTTTTTCCTGAATGACAAAAAATCTACAAATAAAAGTTGTATAAGTTAAAAAAAGGTTTAATAATCAATAACAAGACTAATAGCCTACAAAAGCCCTGTCAATCAACCTCCTCTTGTACTATCGTTTTCAATAAAAACAAGAATTAAAAGTTGGCAATTAGAATGGCAATGGGATTACTGTAAGCCCTGGTAATGATAGGTATAGGTACATAGGTCTGGGCAAGTGTAGACCATGTTTCGTTCATGTCTAGTATTATTTTGCTTTCGTTTTTACTACTCAACATGGAGTTGGAGGAGACAGTGGGGTCGAGGACGGAGGACAAGCTGTTGGCCAACCCCTTTGCGGTGGCCATCATCAATGACTGTGGCTGCATAATCAAGCGTTGACCACCACACGGACGTGCCCCATCCTCCTTGGCCATTTGCAGCCACATCACAACGCTTGCCATCCGGCTGAGCTGTTTGCATATTTTGAGTGGACGCAGTTTAGTTTTTAATTTGATGCCTTTGTTTGTTGTCATTCTGTTCTAGCTTGTTGCACACGGCAAATACAGATGGGGGGATGGGTTGAGGCGGGCGGGTGGTTGCACCTGGGAGTGGTGGCTGCCGCCATTTGCATGACCCGCTCCATACCCCTTCATCGGAGACCTTCTCGATGCTATTATTTAAACCCCCCGATGCACTTTTGTTTCATTGTCGCCCGTTATATTGTTGGCTTTTATGTGCTAGCTGGATGGCCTGCTGGCCTCTCTCGACGGAGAAATGTGGCTGGAAATGGCAGCGAATGGCTCACGTTATGGTCAGCATATTAAGGTAATGGCCTGGAAAGTCAGTCGGAGCTCTGTCGAGTTCACTCCCTGAATTGTTATTAAATGTGAGCTGAGCATGGCACGATGTCTCGAATGGAGTTCAAATTTCATTTGCACTCATATTCGATGGGGATTTCCACTGTTTCAGACTGCCTCATGTTGCATGTTCCTTTTGTGTCTGGGGCAGGTGCTAAATGTCGGTACTACATATAATATTCGAAGAGCAGTTGAATGGTTCATTTCAAATGCGGTTACACACGGGAAAGGCATGCTTTTATGTGAAAAACAAATGGAAATTGAGGTTTCAAATGGTTTTTAGATTTTAGAGAACCATACTGAAGTTTTTTTAATCTAAATATGTATCTTTTAGGTATGCCATTCCTGGATTAAAATGCAACAATCAATGCCTGAATATGAGCAGGTGCATCTTATCTTCAAAGTGACCTGGCAGATGATGAGGGCTCATCAAGCACTGGGACAGGACCCGAGAGGCATTGTTGATTCTCTGTATATATAGTATGCACATGCTTGTAATGGAATGATTCCCAACCCGAGGACAGGTTCCGGTTCTGTGGCATGCAACCAAAAAGCACGCAACCACGCACGCGATATTTCTCTGCCAGCACAAGCGACAGTTTTTGGTTAAAAAGGGCCAACGAGAAATATAAATATCTGGCCAAAAAGAACGCTGCACAGGCGCAGTTCCAAGCTGAGCACTAATCATCTGAATGACAACGGCAACAACAAGAAGGTGGCAAGAAGTGGCAGCAACTGCAACAGCAACAGCTGAGGCAACTGGCAAACCGGCTGCTAAGAAAGAAGGCAACTGACTAACGGCAGGTGCAAAACATTTACCACTCGAATGAAAATTTCCTACCTGATTTAATCTGCTGCTGTTGCTCTGTGTCCCTCGACGCGTCTCCTTTTGTGCTGATATTGCTGTTGTGCCTCGACAAGGCTTCGCTACGTGTTGTTTCATCAACTTCGGACTTGTGGCCTATGGCATGGTGGTGTGGCATGTTGCCTGCATGCCTCGCTGATCACACAGCCACACAGACACTCTTACACTTTTTGGAGGCACACACAAAGATACCAACGTTAACGTGGCCATCACTCAAGGCTGTTGCTGTTGCTGTTCCTGCACGGCTGCCTTCGTTTTAAACTTCTTGGCAACACCAACGCTGTCTGTGGTCTTCTCCGCTCTGCCTTTGCACTCTCTTCGCGAAGAAAGGCGGGGGGGTGAGATGGGTGAGAGTAAGTGAAAGGAAGGCAAACGCATCGACAGGCCATAAAAACAATCCCAAGAAGCCATCAACCAAATGATGGCTAATACTTCCATTGACCGAGTTGCCGAAAAAAAGCCGTAGAGAAAAAAACAATGGGTCGTGATGTTAAGCCAAGGACCACCCTGATTTTCACAATTTTGCACAATTTTCAATTTTTCTAGGGTATTATGTTTGTTCTTCCTTTGGGATTCCTTTCTTTTCAGAATTGAAATGAATTACTTTAAATTCTTTCCAAGAAATTCTACTCAAATCTTTTATTATAGTTTTCTACAGAATTTTTATAGAAATCTAGGTACTTGTATTATAGAACTTATTTTAAAAAGTAGTACAAATTTATATTATAATACAGAAACATCCAGATCTTACCAGAAGTTTTCTTATAGACAAAGTACAAATTTAAAATACTCTATTTGTAAAAGAAACACTACAACATTTACTCCAAAAACCTTGATCCTTAATCTTAAAAACTAATAAAATTATCCCCAGTAACCAGAATCCTGTTTTACTTAAAGATAATATCCCCTCTTAGGTCTCGAACCCAAAAAAAACAAAGTAAAAGATACACCGAACCAGCCGCGACAGCTGCAGATACAGATGCAGATACAAAGATACATCTACATCCACGGCCACATCCCGTAAGCAGTGCTAAAGAGAGCATTGAAGGATGCGGCACGAAACGGGACGCATCCTAGAGTATTTTGTGACTTTGCAGCTGTCGTTGCCCCTGCCCCTTGCCACAGGCACTGACACTGCCCCCGCCTCGTCGCAAATCAACAGATTTCGGTTTTCGGCTTTCAGCCACTTGGCCCTTCCAGGACCATTAATGGACAGGCGAAGGGACGTCGGAACAGTTGCAACTCCTTTTGTTCCTAGGATGCGTATCCTCTTTTCCTGCATTTGGGAAAATAGGGACAAAAGGCAATCCGGTATACGGTATGCTTTGAAGGTGCCAGACCACGCAGCTGGCTGTCAGGACGTCCCTGCAGGACATTCATCGTCCTGCTCAGCTCATTTGCCGTTGCCAGGACACCAATATCGAATGGCGTGGATGTGTCAGATTTGCGAATGATGGACAGACAGCGTTAACTAGAAATTGACTGGCGAACGTTCGAGTCCTTCGGCCTTGTTTTCGTCATTGATTGTCTGTACCCTGTCAGGATATCCCACTGGGGACTTCCTCACGCAAATGTTGAAATGGAAAATTTGTTATTTCAATAAAGAAAACATTTGAAAAGGATTTTCGGTAGGTGTTGCAAAAACAAAGAAGAAAAGCCCTCAAAGCGTTTATAAAAATGAGTGTCAGAAAATATATAATATTATATTTGATTTAAAATCGGAACGAATGTAAATTGGAGGAGCTGTGCTAATCGGAAGGGAGCAAAATGGGGAATATCGTAAATTTCGGATTTTTAAGGGGTACCCCTTGGAAAAAATTCGAAAAATTTTAAAACCGTATTAAAGGGAAGTCTTGTATGAGGGATTAAGCTACTTGGAGCTCCAATCACAGAAATGTACATATTTTCCCGATCGGATGTAAATTGTAGGAGCTGTGCTAATCGGAAGGGAGCAAAATGGGGAACATCGTAAATTTCGGATTTTGCAGGGGTACCCCTTGGAAAAAATTCGAAAAATTTCAAAATCGTATAAAAGGAAAGTCTTGTATGAGGGATTAAGCTACTAGGAGCTCCAATCACAGAAATGTTCATCTTTTTCCGATCGGATGTAAATTGGAGGAGGTGTGCTAATCGGAAGGGAGCAAAATGGAAAAATCGTAAATTTCGGATTTTTAAGGGGTACCCCTAGGAAAAAATTCGAAAAATTTCAAAACCGTATTAAAAGAAAGTCTTGTATGAGGGATTAAGCTACTAGGAGCTCCAATCACAGAAATGTTCATCATTTTTCGATCGGATGTAAATTGGAGGAGCTGTGCTAATCGGAAAGGAGCAAAATGGGAAAATCGTAAATTTCGCATTTTTAAGGGGTATTCCTTGGAAAAAATTCGAAAAATTTTAAAACCGTATTACAGGATAATCTTGTATAAGGGATTAAGCTACTTGGATCTCCAATCATAGAAATGTACATCTTTTTCCGATCGGATGTAAATTGGAGGAGCTGTGCTAATCGAAAGGGACGAAATGGGGAAATCCTAAATTTCGCATTTTTAAGGGGTACCCCTTGGAAAAAATTCGAAAAATTTCAAAACCGTATTACAGGATAATCTTGTATGAGGGATTAAGCTACTTGGAGCTCCAATCACAGAAATTTTCCCGATCGGATGTAAATTGTGGGGCTGTGCCAATCGGAAGGGAGCAAAATGGGGAAATCGTAAATTTCGGATTTTGCAGCGGTACCCCTTGCAACTAGGAGCTTAACTCTAAAATGTAAAAACGTTATTTGAGGATGGTTAAGTTTAGATATTTGTCGTTTTGGTCGTGTGAAAAGGGTACTTTGTATTGCTTTTAAAGGGGGTACGTTTCAGAAGCTGTTCTCAGCCTTGTGGATTTTCCCACACACCTTTAAAGTTTACATTGTCCATTCTTTACCTTCAAATGGAGTTTAATTGAGAACAATGACAATTACCCGAGGGCCAAATTCCTGGACAAAAAAGCGGAGCTAGGGCAAGGTTCGGGGCATTTAAGCTTTTAGCAGTTTTACAGTATCGACCATTTAAATCACGGCCCTCGTTGGTCATCCAAAAAAAGGGCCAAAAAACGGCGAAAAACATTTCGAAAGAGTTAATAACAAGCTGTAAACAATGCCCGCCTGACCTGCGCTCCTACCTCCTCCAGCCTGCCAACCCGGAAATTTTTGTCGAAATATTGAAAGAAAAAAATAAAAAATAAAGACAAGAAAGAAAAAGCAGAAGGACAAACGGGGCAAAAAAAAAAAAAGCTCAGTGGCTGCTGGTGTGTCCAGGGCACAGATGTCGCTCAGATTACGAACTTAATTGCCCCAGTGCAGGATATGAAACCCCAAGCCCGATCCGAGTCCCCCCAGTCCAGAGCACAATAAAAAGCTGAATTCAGAGCCAGCCAGACGAAGGGCTAAAACGGGGGAAAAAAGCACAGAATAGTGCATGACTAGTCCAAAATGCAGGCCAAAAAAACAAAACAACTGGCCACTGGTGGCGGTGTTGGTAAGAAGAGCCAGACCAGCCCGGCAAAACTGGCCAAAATGTCAGAGTGCAAACATTCAATGCGAAATATTTCAGTTAACGTCTGTCCTGCAACACGAACGCCTTTAAAACTGTCGACTGGTATGAGTGTAAAGCGGCTTTTGAATTTTTAACAGGCCAGGCTTAAAGTTCTGGCCAATTCCAATTGCAAACTGCAACTCCATATAAGACCCCGCACGTAAAGCGATTTTAATTGAAACGATTTTATTTATTTAAGATGCAGGAAGGGGCTTAAAGGTTACTTTCATATTCCTTAACTGCCAAAAAATTGATTGAATAATGTAATACGGTTTTAGAGCTTAAAGATATCTTTTAAAAATATTATTTATAAGCCCACTCTTTAAGTTCAAACTTTTCCCCCTACCATCTCCTGAACAAGTGTTTGCTTTCGACATCTATTTTTGGCAATTCTCTGGGGTAACCCGCTGTTTGAATTGAACACAGAATCTTACCCCAAAAATACATACAGAAATAAAACGCCAACTTGCTTAGATTCGTGAGGAGGTAAGTTACATACATATACTGGCACTTAGAGCCCCTTTATTTTGTGGGGGTCTTATCGGCATTTTGGACTTGCTTCAATGGATCCTTTGCAGTCGGGAGACCTGCATTTCGGCTTTGTTTTCGTGGCTCTTGGCCACGTAAATCTTTTCAATTTGAATCAACCTAAGCGTTTGTCATTTTGACTAATGGCTTATCAAACAAATACAAGCACAACCGAGCCCGTTCAGCCCAAAAGCCAAAAGCCGAAAGGATGTTTGACAAAATTTATTGTATCGTAAATTACGCATAAGAAAGAAAAGTTACCAACAACAAACAAAAACACAAAAAAAAACTCTGAAGAAAAGGAGAGAGAGGAGAAAAGAGAAAAGTCTGGAGAAAGTGAAAACTTTGCTAGCTTACAGCTCGTAAATATCCTTTTTGTGGAGAAATTTATGCAAACTTTCGTCTGGTTTCCTTGTGACGATTGGAATTGGAGTTCCTGTAGCTAAAGCCTCGAGGTGATTTTCTGTCGTTGCAGGAATGCGACTCTAATGACCGAAGCCAGGACCTCAGCCAGGACCTCAGCCAGGACTTTAACCAAGACCTGGACCAGGTCATGCACGTATTTAGAACCTTTTCTTTCCTTTTTTTTTTTGGGTGGCGTCATTATAAATTAACAATGGCAACTTGGGGCAAATATTTCAGCGTGCAACGACACCGAAAGTCGGGCTATACTACTGGCCCACAACACACACAATGATGGAGCATTTACCGCTCCCGGAACAATAAAAGTCGACCGTCTAAAAGGACGAAAAAATATAAGGAGCTGGAGCGCAAAGGAGAGAGGAGTCAGCCAGGCAGGCAGGCAGTCAGGCAGATCCTGGCCTAAGGATGACAAAAGTTTCCGTTGTTGTTTGCCCACCCACCTTGTTGCTGCATTGTGTCAACTGGTCTCCTTAGCCACACTTGGCCATCCTCCTTTTGGAATCCTCCTTGGAATCCACTGACACCGAAGAAGAAACCGTCCTCCGTCCCCAGCCTCCCACTACACCCCCCTACCCGCCCCCATTCTTAAGGCATATGAAACATTTTCCTTGGGACAAGGAAATATGAATTGCGTGCCAAAGAACAAAAAGCAGCTAAAAACGAAAGAAAACTTTTGCTCAGCTTTGTTTCGTTTCTGTTCTTTTTGTGCTTTCGGTTCCAGCTTGTTTTTGGGATGGCTAATACACTGAGAAAAAAGTGTTGAGTAACAACTTT